CCGCCCCCTCTACAGCCACCGCCTCCAGCTCCGGTTCAGCAACATGTGGAAAGGCCATCTGATTCATTGAGTCTTGCTCAGCTGAAACAGCTGGTCCAGGAGATGCCCAAGGTTGAGCAGCCTGCCTATGCTTTCGAGTATGCAGACTCCCAGCCATTCGCCGAGGAAGTCGAGGAATGGTTCCAGTACAGCGAGTTCGACAGAGTCATGCTCATTGGCATGAAGTCATCATTTGACCATAGATGGAGTTGTTTCTGCGAAGACCAGTCTGTGGACAGTGCTATGCAGTCCTGGATCACCGCCTCTTATGAATTACGAAAGACGTTTATGAGCCAGCTTATTAATAACTTAGGTGACCGTGCAGTCCTTGTCCGAATTGAGGCCTTGGAGGCCATATGCTATGCTTTGACTGGTGTTTGGGGCCTGACGGCCGGTCGAGTTGTGGATGAGCACCCGGAGGGTCGTCCTCAGCCAGGTGCAGAGGCTGAAAGCCAGTCACTTCAGATCAAATGGATTGAACAGAATGTTTGCCTGCTCCAAGAATGCTCAGGTATCCAGCCACTGATGGACTGCCTATGCTGTGTCTTTGAGAGGCACCGCAGTTCCTCCGCACCGGACGCGGACAGCACGGCACAAGAAGGCGCCAACCCTGCCTATGTTGCTGCTCTGGAGAGAGAAGCAAATCTGGTGTTGACGGCTCTTTATTTGTCTGTGGAAGTCGGCCGCAAGCAAGACGCTCTTGATACCCGGAATGCCCCTTTGAGAGATACTCTCATGAGTCTGGAGCCCAATCTGCTTGTGTTCCTGGTGGAAATCATTGCGCGGTTGCGTTGGGACGACTCTGCCAATGTTCCGCTGACCAGAGTCATTCTTCTATTTTGGAAGTCTTTGCTGCTTTTCTTCGGAGGCACTGATAAATTGAAGGGGGCCAAGGAAGCACTGGAGCCGACCCTCGAGGCAAGAAAAACAGCCACTAATCGAAGGACCCCTTTCCTCACTGCCTCGCCCTTGGACTACCACAACTTTCGACAGGAGATCACATCCAAGTATCCTGCATATAATCCGCCACCTCCTGTGGTCCCCCTAGAGCTAGAAAATAATTCGATTCTTCCCCCACTCCCGCAACATCCCAGCAGGATCGGCTCTTCTGCAGGTCCCTTCTCTGGAGTTGGCCCTTCTGTGGCGGGTGGCAGTGGTTCAATCATCCATCACCCAGTCCACATCGCTACCCCGGCACCCTCTCCTCCACCGTCACCTATCGGCCCTGGCGGCAAAGCGGGGAAGAAGCAAAACTACCAGACAAACCAGAACTTTCCTTTCATGTACCCTCCTCTAGATGATTCAAGTAATGACCTCGGAGGCAAGGGCACCACAGAGCTGCAAGATAATCTTGTGGGAAAGAAGTGGCAGGGTAGTGATGTTCCGGCGTCCATCATCGAGGCTGGGAGGCTGTTCTCAACCCATGTCAAGATGACAAGGGCGATGCGGCAACTCTGGGAAGAGCGAGAGCGTTTTATGAAATACGACCGCGGCTGGTATCCCGATGAAAACCAGCTTCTTTTGAACGAGAACGCCCTTGGTGGATTGGCAGATGAGCTGCAAGATTTGAATGTCTCCGAGAAGAGGCCTAGTACTGATAGCACACCGAAAGAGGAAACTGAGAATGCGGATATTCAGCAACGCCTGGATGCCGTTGAATCGTTCTACGTGAGTTTATGTGGTGCCTCAGGAGACGGAACAATTACTTACGACTCGCAGAGACAAGCACTGGTGCATCTACAGTCTATAACGATTGTCTTTCTGAAGATAATCCTGACGAATGTTAGCGCCATGGTGAGCCAGCCCAATGGACAAGCTGCGCAGGCCATGGGGTATGTGATACACCTGTAATTGCCATTGCCTAGCGTGTACTGATGCCTCCTATCTAGGGATGGTTATGGATCGGTGATCAATGGGTTCCCAGCCAATCATGTCAACGGGCATATTGATCTTAACTCCGAAGCCGCCATCGATGAGCTCGACAACATTCGTCTCCGGGAAATCACCGGAAAAGCGATCTCCGGCTCTCTATTACTGCTTGTCAAGTGGTTTAAGAGATCTCGTAAGCTACTTCGATCTGAATGTGTTGGAAGGAAGTGCTAATAAGCCCCAGATATCTTGAAGTTCGAGTATATGACGCAGTTGTTACTCGACTCCAACTACCTGCCGTTGATTCTGAAGATGTTTGCCCACCAGGATGTGGATCAGGCAGTAGCGCAGAAGAATGACCGAGAGGAACTGGGGTAGGTGCTCCTCTGAAACAGCTATCTAGATATACTAACAAAAACGAAGCTTCTTCCGGTTTTGCCATATCCACTCGAACCAACCGCCGGAATCGACAACCGACCTGGATGAGGACTCCTCACCTAGTGACGACGAAGCTGTCCCTCCGCCCATCACCCGACATCGCCAGGACACAGGCAATTCAGTACGCGGAGTGTCGCCCGAAGTATCTGTTCCTGAGTTTATGGAAGGGCCTCACCGTCCGGAAGTTGACGAGCTAGGCTACCCTACAGCTCCCCCACCTAAGGAGCCGATTACCGTGTTCTCATTCCGCAACTTTTTCTCAGCGATCAATTACCTCCACATCATGCAGAAGATCACCCGCGACAAGGCCCATCGATGCCTCCTCCTGGTGCAGTACAAGTCAAGCACTATCCTTCGCAAAGGGCTCAAGATCCCCGATCCGCACTTGCGGTTCTACACGCTCAAGCTCTTCAAATCACAGGTGCCTTACTGTGGACGCAAATGGCGACAGAGTAATATGCGGGTGATCACGGCGATCTATCTGTACTGCAGACCAGAGCTCCGCGACGACTGGCTTTCTGGCGGAGACATCGACTCGGAGGTGGAAGAAGCACTGCCACTGGAGCAGGCACTGCGCGGACTGACGCACTGGTGGCATCTGCGCCGGTACAAGGACGTGATGGGAGGTGAAGAAGGCGCATCCATGATGGAAGAAGAGCGGGATTTCTTCGTGCGGGAGCTCGAAGCAATGGGATGGGGCATGGCAGGCGAAGAAACCTTTGGAGGCAGCGAGGACGCTGAAATGGGCGGGCCTATGGTGAACGGAACGGGGACCGAATGGGACGGAGCTCCACTGCAAATGGAAGGATGGTAATCCTACTTTCACAACCTATGATATTTATTAGACCCGGTACATACGATAGATGTTAACGTTATGTGATGAATGAACAATACCCCAATTGCACAACACTCTTTTCTATACAAATTCCTGTGTTGCAACTCATATATTAGCATTTGCAATGTTTTGAATGGATGGACAGACCATCCTTATCGATAAGCAGCCCAGTGGACCCCCACGTGACCAATCACTGCGGCAACTTTTTTTCTGCGGCAGAAATCATCACCTTGACGGCCAAGCAGCACCTCCCTCTTTCCTTTCCTCCCCAGCAAAACCAAGTTTAACTGTAGCGGGGGTAAAACCAATCCACCGCGAGAAGTATCTGGCAAGATGTCGTCCGACGAAATTGTCTGGCAGGTTATTAACCAGCAATTCTGCGCCTACAAGCTCAAGTAAGTCTCTACTATCCATCCGGGCTATAAAAAAAAATTTCCGCCTACCACATACATCACAACCAGAGCCGCCAGAGAAAAGAGAGAAAATACTCAACAAGTATATTAAATAAAAGCTAATCATCAATTTTTTTTTTCTTTTTGGAATAGAACTACTAAGAACCAAAACTTCTGCCGAAATGAATACAACGTCAGCGGACTTTGCAACCGGCAATCGTGCCCGCTCGCCAACTCGCGGTACGCCACGATCCGGTCGGACCCCGAAACAGGCGCGATGTACCTGTACATGAAGACGGTGGAACGGGCGCACATGCCCAGCAAATGGTGGGAGCGGATACGATTGTCGTCGAACTATGCGAAGGCGCTGGAGCAGTTGGACGAGCGGCTGATCTACTGGCCGAAGTTCCTGGTGCATAAGTGCAAGCAGCGTCTGACGCGGTTGACGCAGGTTGCAATTCGGATGAAGAAGTTGGCTAAGGAGGACGAGAGGCTTGGGGAGAAGGTGGTGACGAAGTTGGCGCCGAAGATTCGGCGGAGAGAGGAGGCGAGGGAACGCAAGGCGGAGAGTGCGGCGAAGATTGAGAGGGCGATTGAGAGGGAGCTGATTGAGCGGTTGAGGAGTGGTGCTTATGGAGATCGGCCGTTGAATGTTGAGGAGGGGATCTGGAAGAAGGTGTTGCGTGGGTTGGAGAGGAGTGGAGAGGGTGAGAGGGATGAGGATCTGGATGATGGGGAGGAGATTGAGTTCGAGGATGAGGAGGAAGAGGAGGAGGGTGTTGGTCAGGTTGAGTATGTTAGTGATATTGATGAGGATGAGGAGGATCTGGAGGATATTGAGGATTGGATTGGTGAGGGGTCTGGAGACTCCAGTGACGATTATGATGATGAGAGCGACGAGGAGGAGGACAGTGATGAGGATGATGAGGACGATAGCCATCACTCTGATGAGGAGGCTAAGAAGCCTGCGCCTGGATTCAAGCGGAAGCGTCCTGCTCCTCAGATTAAGCCGAGGAAGAAGGGTCCCCGTGTTGAGATCGAGTACGAGACCGAGGGTGCTGGTAAGGAGAGCATCATGGCTTGAAGGGAGTGAGACATTGAACATAAAAGCACGGGTTCCTGTTGATGTTGATGTTGCTGCTGCTGCTTTCGTGTACTGTATGGCGTTGTCTGGTTTAGAGTTGTTTTGTGTCTGTTATTACTGTTGCTCTGCTGCGATCGGGCATGCATACCCCGCCATTGCATATATGAATTTACTGTTCACCAAAGTTCTGATCTGCAACATTAGACTATGTACATCACAACTACATGAAGGTCAGAAACCAATTTACAAATGTTGAGACAGGATCCACCAGTTGGCTGTGTCAGATGGTGAAGGAACTAGAAAGAAACCGACTGGAGCAGCTCACGTGCAGCGGGGGAAGTGAAACCGAGTGGATCGCCAACAACCGCCGTGAGGTCAATCAATCAATCAATGTCAAACCTCCCCTAAGGGGTTGCACCAATACCTCCTGATCACCCTTCTACACGCTGGTCGGCTCGAGATACCGTGTTCAATAGCACCTTAATTCCTCACCGCTGCAGCTAATCCTCTCGGCTCTTGTTTCGCCCCGCGGACCAGCATCTGCCTCTCCTCGTGTCCTGAACCCCCCGATAACCGCGGACCCCACCTAAAGCAACTCACCTCCTTTTGAGAGACCCCATCTCCGACCAGCCAGGGGGAACCTGCATAAAACCAACCAGAATCACAAGAAGAAGACGAACGAAGAAGAAGAACAAGAAACACCATCATGTTCTCATCCCTGACCTCATCCTCCGCCATCTCGAACCTAGGCACGCGGCTCACCTCCCTCCGACGAGCCATCACCCTAGGCGATGAAGCCGACGATCCAGAAAACGAAGACTGCTCGCACATTTCCAACGTGCTGCGCGCCTACTACACGGAGAAAGCACGGCCCTTCCCGAACTGGCTGCCCCCCGATCCGAAAGCGCCAACACCAGCGCCGGCACGGGTCATCGCGACGACGCAAGTGCAGGCCGGAGGAGCAGCCGGCGGCGGCGGCGGTCCAGCAGCATCGGCGTATGGACGCAGCGGAGGCGGCGGATTGGGAGACTTGTGGGGAGATTCGGGTTCAGCGACGGCGCCGGCCTCGCAGACGGCCAGTCTGCGTCGAGGTCGGTTGACACCCGGCAGTGGTGGAAACATGGGGGCGCCTCTAGCCGCCACGGCCAGCGCACCGTCGGGGATGATTGCATCACCGCATAGTCCGTCACCTGGTGCAGGTGTGCCGACCGGGTCAGCGAGACCGCTGCCTAGCCAGCGAGCCGGGTCGTATCAGACGATCTCGGGCCCAGTCACAGGTGGAGGGCTAGAGCGAGCGGCGTCGGCCCAAGAAAGACTGCGAGCTAGATTACATGGGGGCCGGTCTCCCAGTCCCGGGCAGAATCCGGGCAGTTCGAGTGGTAGTCGGCCGGGTTCGCCATATGTTGGAGGGGGAGCGGATCCTAGTGCACGAAAACCGGTAGGCATGCCGGGAAAACGATAATGGTCGGGCAGGATTTTTTTGCTTGTTTAGTTTCGTTTACGTTTAGGCTAATTTACTTTTTACTCCATTTACGGAGTACGCCGTACTACCTTGGGCTGGGGTGGTGGTGTGTGGGGGAAAACGAAGGGGGCAAGGAAGAGGAATTAGTGGCTGCAGGGGCTTATTGCAAGATGGGGACTGCTGGTTAGTGTCTGGTCTTGTGGTAATTCGGATGGAGTCCGCGGAATGGGGGAAAAAGGGCGGGATGATGAAGTTGAAGAGGGAGAAGGAAAGAGGAAAGAGAGGAGCAAAGAGGAGGAAGCTAATCTATCTTAGTGGACTGAACTTTTCCATGGTTTTCGTTGTCATGGGACTTGAGACTGGGGACTCTGGGAGTTGTTCCTGCTTTTGTCTTCTCTGGTTGAGCCTTCGTCTACCTTACCTTTATCTTCTCTAACCAAGATGAGAGAGAGAGAATCATAATATAAACTCTGTATTATCCCACAAGCTTTTCCTTCTTGCCAGTAAAACCATGTTTCCTTCCCGTGCCGTCTTGGCTGTCCATTGAATTGCTTGTTGCTTGATGGCATTGCTTGAGTGAGGTAAGAAAAAGCTGGGCGTAAACGTTCTTCCCTTGGCCAGGAAGGCCTTTTTGCCGGGGTAAATAGAAGTGGGGAAGGCTCCCATCCAGACCATGCTTTTGACTTTTTACTTTTCCTTTCCTTCTTTGCGTTTCGCTCCAGCCCGGGGCGCGTGTTGTCACGGCCCAGCAAGAAGTTAAGACTAGTGTCGGGGGTGTAGGGGAAAGTTAACGAATGAGGGACTCGGGCTTGTGGAGAGTCGAACGGGGAACGGGGAAGAGATTGGAACCTTTGGGGGGGAAGGAAAGGAAGAAATCGGAGTAAGATAGCGAGACCAGTCAGGGATTATGGGGAATCGACACTAAGTAGTAACAGTATGGAGTACTCCGTTAGTAGTGTAAAGAGTCACGGGGCCCCGAAAAGAGAGCGCCCATAAGAAAAGTGGAATAAATGGCGCAACTACATACCCCACGAGGCTAACCAGAATAAGCGTATGGTGGTATTTTTCAATGAACGATGACTGGTCAGAGTATCGCCGAGAATCCACCGGCTTAGGTAATAGGTGCTGCCCACGGGGAAATTGTCTCCTCCGCTTCTCTTCTGGGGAAGAATCAGCATCGCAGACATTCCTTCCATTCCACTCATTCCATCGGGTTGTTGCTTAATGGTCAGACATCTTTACTGCTGCTGCTGATTCTGTTTTGCTGCCCATCATGCCGTTCCCCACTTCTGCATCTTCCCTTTATTTTTTTTCCTTTTCTTTTCTCCCTCCCCCCGGCTGGCCCTCGCGTGGTCGGCTTCCCTGACTGGTTCCACGGCCCGATACTAACGAGTCAAACCCGGTCCTCATGATGGGTCCTGCTTCTTTTTTTGACTTTTTCTTTTTTCCCTCTCTCTCTCTCTCTCTCTCTCTTCATTATGCCGATGACGCTTCTGGGGAATGATGAGGTAGTAGCCAGTCTCAGTCGTACGTAGTTGTAGTTGGAGAAGGAGGAGGAGGAGGAGGAGGAGGAGGCCCATGGGCCGATATGTGTGCCCTTTAAATACCCCCCTTCTGGCATTCCCCAGATATTTCTACCTCTTTCTCTTTCTTCTTTCTGCGTGTGTCTCTATCCCCACCTTATCTATCTCTCTTCTATACAGAAGATCCTTGCCCCGGTAGTGGGAGGTATCTTCTCTCTCTTTTTCACACCCTCTCTCCCACCCGCAAAAAGAGTTGAATAACCCGCCCCTCCCACATGCTCTTTTAGCCCTGATTGTACCTCTCTTGTACATATCATAAAAGAAAACACTTCCCTCCAATATCACAAGCGGCTGTCACACCGCACTTTCCATTTCCAATCATGGGTGTCGTACACGACCTGGACACCTCCCATGATGACCACAAGGAGGGAACCGCCTTGGAGATGGACGATGTCCTCAAGGACCCCAAAGCCATCGAGGAATTCAACGAAGCTGCCATGGATGCAGAGTTACTGCAGCTCGAGGAGCAGCTGCAAGGCAGGAAGCCCTCTTGGTTCGTGGGCTTCTCCAACCCATCTGTGTATACCTATGTCCTAGTGGCCTTTGCCTCCATGGGTGGTCTACTCTCCGGTCTGGACCAGTCCTTGATCAGTGGTGCCAACATCTACCTGCCTGATGCATTGCACCTTAACGACAACCAAAGTAGTCTCGTGGATGCTGGTATGCCTCTGGGTGCCGTGGCCGGTGCCCTCATCCTCTCCCCCGCCAACGAGTACCTGGGTCGTCGCATGGCCATCATCGTCTCCTGCATCTTGTATACCATCGGTGCCGCCTTGGAGGCCGGCGCCATCAGCTTCGGAATGATCTTTGCTGGACGTTTCGTGCTCGGTATGGGTGTGGGTCTGGAAGGTGGTACAGTCCCTGTGTATGTCGCCGAGTCTGGTATGTCCTTCACCCCTTACTTCCTTTTTTACATCACCATCATCGACTAACGTCACTCCAGTACCCCGCAAGATGCGTGGTAACCTGGTCTCACTGTACCAATTGAACATCGCTCTCGGAGAAGTCCTGGGCTATGCCGTGGCCGCCATCTTCCTCGACGTCAAGGGTAACTGGCGTTACATCCTGGGATCATCCCTGGTGTTCTCGACCATTCTGCTGGTGGGTATGATCTTCCTGCCCGAGAGTCCCCGTTACCTCATGCACAAGGGCCGGCCCGTGGAAGCCTACGGCGTGTGGAAGCGAATCCGCGGGTTCAACGACTACGACGCCAAGGACGAGTTCCTGGGCATGCGCCAGGCCGTGGAGGCTGAGCGCGAAGAACAAGCCGCTACCAAGAAGTACGCCTGGATGGACTTCATCACAGTGCCACGCGCCCGTCGCGCCATGATCTACGCCAACATCATGGTCTTCCTCGGCCAATTCACCGGTGTCAACGCCATCATGTACTACATGAGCACACTAATGGGCGCCATCGGCTTCGACGAGCGCCAGAGTGTCTTCATGTCTTTGGTCGGTGGTGGCTCCCTCCTGATCGGCACCATCCCGGCCGTGCTATACATGGAGCGCTTCGGCCGCCGCTACTGGGCCAACGCGATGCTCCCCGGTTTCTTCATCGGCTTAGTGCTGGTCGGCATCGGCTACCAGATCAACTACCAGACCCACCCCAAAGCCGCCCAGGGCATCTACCTCACCGGTATCGTCCTCTACCAGGCATTCTTCGGCTCCTACGCCTGTCTCACCTGGGTCGTGCCCGCCGAGGTCTTCCCCACTTATCTGCGTAGTTACGGCATGACCACCGCCGACGCCAACCTCTTCCTCTGCTCCTTCATCGTCACCTACAACTTCACCCGCATGATGAACTCCATGACCCGTATCGGTCTGACCCTGGGATTCTACGGTGGTATTGCTTTCCTCGGCTGGATCTACCAGATTATTTTCATGCCCGAGACGAAGAACAAGTCTCTCGAGGAGATTGATGAGCTCTTCTCCCGTCCCACTTCTGCTATTGTCAAGGAGAATCTGAAGAGTACGGGAGAAGTCATTGATGATTTGTTCCACTTGCGCCTCAAGAAGGTGTTTTCGCCCCCGCCGAAGGAGGACTAATTGGCTGATTGATTGATTCATGGGTTGGAAGGAAGAATCATGATTCTGATCCCATGTATGATTTGGTCAATGTGGATGATGTATATGTTTATGAATATAGGATGATCTGAAGATGAAACAGAAACAGAAACAAAAAATTGGGTATTTTCCCGTCACTTTATTATATAATGGGTTTATGATGGTCTTGTGTGTGTCTCTTTTAAGTTCTATCTCTGATGTAATTTACTACTGCTACTGCTACTACTACTGCTTGTTTTCTTGCAGTGGTGTCAATAGTATACCCTTATTCACTCTGTCAGATACATTTATATCTATATCTACATCTACATCTGCAGCATTGACTCTCAAAAGAGTAACATACATGCATTTTCTGTAATCATTACTGATCTGACATTGCAGCTACGAGCGCAATGATTTCTTCAACATGGCGTATGAAGTCCAGCCTCCCAACTCGAACATTCATTCATGTCTTGAACTCAATCCGCACGTGGCTGAGACCAACCGACTAATTAGTTATTGCTTGGCTTACAGTCATGTACAGACAGCGTACTACTGATGATGAAAATAATGAATCGCATATAATTCACGCTAAGTCTATATACCACGCAATGGATAACAAGCAAGACAGCGAGCAAGTAACGACCAGATTTTTGGTTCGGTGATATACAGGTGTATAGCCATATGCTTGATGGAGAAGAAGAAGAAGCCAAGAGACGAAATATCATGTAGGGATGGGCGAAGGGTACGACACGTATAGAATGGTAAACAGCTAACCCCGCACCTTCCGATAACTGGGTGGACTCCACGATCGCAGGATCAGTTTACCCGCCCAGATTGGAATGAGGGAGACGGCGCAGACGGCGCAGACGCGCCAAAGCCAGTCTACTGTGATGACGTAGTGCAGGTCGAAGTAGCTGCCGAGGAAGGGAACGCTAGCGGCGTAGACGAGAGCCGTGCCGATGATGCAGAAGATCATGATTGGGTGCCAGGTGGTGATGGCGATGGCGACCATGAGGAGCTCGTTGATAACGAGGGAGGTGAAGGAGACGCTGATGAGACGGGGGCCGGTGATGGTGTCGAGGAGGATTTGGGAAAGGCCCTGGATGACGGCGCCTTGGTAGACGGAGACCAGGACCCAGGTGAAGAAGGAGCGGTAGCTGAGGCTGCGGCCGGTTTTGAGCTCCTTGTAGAGTTCGGGGTAGAGGTTGGCGAGCTCTTCGTCGACGTCACGGTCGAAGACGAGCGAGAAGACGGGGGCATTGGTGTAGACAGTGGCGTAGCCGACCATCAGCCAGTTGATGAAGAGACCCTTGGGGTCGAAGTGACTGGCGATGCTGTACATGGTCTGGCAGGCGCTGATGATGAGACCACGGTGCATGATGAACTGGGCGAGTTTGGCGGAGCGTTTGTAGGAGTTGCGGCCGTGCCAGACGAGGAGTTTGGTGAGATGGTGGAATTGGGTGATGCTGAAGTCGGCAGCCAGAGAAGCTTGACGACCCTCCTTGCCGACAATGCCGATCCCGACATCAGCGGCTTGGATCATGGAGACGTCGTTTCCACCGTCGCCGATGCAGCAGACGCGCTTTTTGGTGTGCTGGCGGATGAGGTCCGCTACTTCGGCCTTTTGGGTTGGCGAGCACCGACAGGCAACGACAGCCGGGAGCAGGACGGCGACGGAGATGAATGCTGTCCGGAACTGAGCTAGCATGAGGGAAAGAGACTCGCCGTCAATGAGGAGACAGCAGTCGGTCTTGTTGCGAAGGAAATCCAAGGTTTCCTGAGCGGTAGACTTGTCTTTGACTTTAGCAACCGTGTGAATGTACTGTCCACGGGCGACCAGCTTTGCGGAAATGGCTACACAGCGTGCCGTCTCGACCTTGTCACCCGTCAACATCCAGATTTTGACACCGGCGTTGCGAAGCAGCTCCAAGGAGGGTTTGACATCCCGCTGGAGACGGTCTTCTACACCCGTCACGCCGAGAAGTTCCAGGTCTCGTTCCAGGTATTCGCTGATCACCTTGGCCATGCCGACATCGCGTCCTTGCAGAGCGAGAGAGGCTTGCTTGTACTTGGTGGTGAACTCTTCGTATTGCTGTGATGATAGTCGCCGTCGGCCTACGACCAGAGTTCGCAAGCCCTCGCGAGCCATGTTAGCGGTCTCCTCATCGAGCCAATCGTTCGCCGCAACAATCGTTGACATGACGGTATCAGCACCCTTTTGATAAAACCAGATTTCACTGTCGTTCTTGGACGAATCCAATATGTCCTCATCTGTCTCAAACTGCACGATAATCCCCATCCGCTTACTATCTGAAGTGAAGGGGAAAATCTCAAGAATGCGGACCCGAACAACGACCTTCCCTGTGTGGGTAGACTCAAGGACGATAGACTGTCTGTCGCGATAAGCCAACTTGAGCCCGACGTCTTCAGTGTATTTCACAATCGCAATCTCATCGGGGGAGGAAGCTTGGTAATTGGTGACCCTGACACCGTCTTCTACATCCGTAGTAGGGGTGACATTGTGACAAAGAGCAAGGGCCAAAATGATGTCTCTGACACGGGAACCAATCTCCCTTCTCGTGCGCGGAGCCGTACCAAGTCCAGCTTGGGCTCCGAATGCGGTTGAAGGAGTCGTCAGCGAGTCACCGACGAAGCTTTGTCGAATATAGGATGCCACTTCTTCCATAGCGTCATTGGCATACGAAACCGTCCCAACATGGATTTTCTTCAGTTCCATCTCTGCTTCCGTTAGCTAACAAGCAGCGGGCATCGGCCTATCGAAATACTCACCGTTTTGGGTCAGAGTCCCTGTCTTATCGGAAAGGAGATATTCAATTCTACCCAGGTCTTCAGGAATAGTACTGGTCCTGACAACCGTACCTGGTATATCCTTGTCTCGTTCGATGAAGCGCCCGTATACCGATTTCGCCATGTCCAAGTTGACCCGCAAGCTCATGGGGATAATCGTCGAGAAGAGAATCAGGTAGATCATGATTGCAACATACCAGACCTTGTCATTTGTCGGTTGGAAACCTTCTAGAGCAACCAAAACAATGGACAAGGCCAGAGTCAGCGCGCAAAGGATCTTGGTTAGGTTGTTGATCTCGTACTCCAGCAAGCCAACTTTCGAGCGAGACGGTGAGGTCGAAAGGGCAGCCCGCGTCTGGGACCCTGTATAGATGATGGTAGCGTAGGTGACGGTGTTGGAGGCAAGTACAGTGTTGGCCCATGCGGTGTTGTCGATTGTTAACGGAGCAGAGGTGGCCTGGGGGTCAGTGGTCTCATAATCCCCACCATTTTCCCTCTTGTCGACATGAGGATCGTAAAACCCGGACGGTGGACCCAGATCAATAGTACCGACAAATTCATTGACTCGTCTATCGGGCGCACTTGCAGTGACCTTCAACCTTGGAAGGTCACTTAGAGGCAGTGCTTGCGACAAAACCGAAGGCAACCGTAACTTCCAGTCAGTTTCACCATCTAGTTGATCAGTTCGTATGAATGTGTCACTGGCCGACGAGACAATAGCTGCGTTTGTCGCAGTGCTGGAGCTAGGTTCGGGGTTGGTAGGCGATAATAAGCTTTCTTCCTGCGAAGGGACCTCCGCCGGTCTTTCCGCCAAAGAGCTTTGACGAGCAGTCACAATGTCGTTTGAAATGCTCTTCAGAATCACAACATCCGCAGGCAACCGCTGGTTTTTGCGGACCTTCAGGACGTCACCAACTCTCAGATCCCGTGACTTCTTGACGACCTCCAGCACCCCGTTAGGCCCATCGAAACTTAGTACAGTAAATTCCTCAGCATTTGCTTCGGCATCTCTGCGACGGCGGCCAATGTCATCCAGCGCCTCCTTTCCAAGCGAAATACTAACAACGAAGGCTAAAGGCGCAATATAAGATGACATGTAACCTATTCGGAGGACCGGAATGATCTGTGAAAGGGCGACGAGAAGGAAGTAAATGTTGAAGAAGAAGGAGAATTCGTTATACAGAGTGCGGGGCAAGAAACTCCAGGGAGTGTACTTGGCGTTCGATACGACATTCGCGGGATACTTGGTTCGTTGCATCTGGCCGACGAGGACATCGCGCGGCGGTTTCGTCTCGGTCTGTTCTGAATCGGATCTTGTTGTACGGCTTGAGCCAAAGAGAAAGCTGGCCGCCTTGATCCCCGGAATCCTAAACCGCGACCCCCTTTGCGACACCCGTTCCAAATCCGCCAACGAGCGAGCGGAGCTACGCCGGCGTTCATTCAGCAGCGGAGCATCATCGTCGGTGAAGTTGCGGGAGCTCGCGTGCGACCTGCGGAGTCCGTCCTCCTCCCGTTCTTCCAGAAGGCCAGCCGTGTCCTCCGATGGCCCATGTGCTCCGGAAGCGTTTCGTCGCCATACTCGATTTCCCATGCCAACCCGCAAGTTCCGCAAAGCTATGCCGGGACCGCGACTCCGTTGGCGATTCGATTCATCTCGTGAACGGCGAGGAGATCCATATAAGTGGGTGCTGCTCGGATCAAGTTCCTCCAAATCGAGGTCGTCATCGGAACCAGAGTCGCCCGCGATACTGGCACGACCATGTGGGTGGAGGTAGTCGGACGAGGAAGGCATAGTAAAGACAGTCGGAAAGAAGTCAAAGAGGTTGTATCATGTACAAGGAGCGATCTGGGGACTCCTGTGTCGACAAGAAAAGTGTCATGTCACGCCGAGCGGTAACCAAGGTGTCTCCGAGGCACCATTGCTCGGTATAGCTGGCTGGGAGGCGGACTTATGCAGTCGGAATTCGGATGCGCGTAAACGGAGGTACCTATAGATGGCGATGAGGGTAGGTAGGCAAAGTAGGTTGGTATATAGTCAGCACAGTGTACATCCCCCAAAAATTCGAGTCCACCACGACGTCAGTCTGAACCATTCGAGGAAAAAGAGAATAACGGGGATAATCTTGGTGGCCTAAAGCGGTTGCGATGGCAGGCGGAGACAGGGCGGGATCACATGATGTCGGAGCCACCAAAGGAGAGGGCGGTTGTGGCGCAGTGACCAACTGGTCAATTAGCCCGTATTATTAGTTTAAGTTATCTGAAACGGCGATGTCATCAGCGGAGTCAATGGCAACATAATCATACGCTGTAGAATAGATAATGGTTATTGATGGCATTATTGGCTTCCTATTCACACAGCATTATGCACGGGCTTTCATCCGGTGACCAAGGGGGGTCTCTCAAGAGGAATGTCCGATCTACTTGTATGGCTACTCAAATTGGTAAAAGAGTTGACGAACATGCAGCACTAGTGTCTCTCTATCTATCTTCTATCTATTCAGCTCAATCAGCGATGCACCACGTGACCCAGTGTAGAAAAGAGGTAAGGTGGCACTTCCGCCCCGGGACAACCAATCTTCCAGCCCCGGGATGACGGGCGCGTCCCAAAGCCGGGCAGGTCATTATTATTATTATTATTAACTAGCCAGTCAGCCAGCGCCGGTGTGCAGCAGCATCATAAGCCCGCAGCCCAGGCACTGCAGCACTTTGTCTGGCTTTTCCCCCCAAGACAAAAAAGAAAGACAACTTCCGGAGATGCAGTCATGATTTTATACTCCACTTACTTCTTGTAATGCTTTGTTATTGGACCCGGTCTCCTGTGTCCTTCTTATTCTGTTTTATGTTCCAGTAAATCACCTATTCTAGCATCTACGGTTTATCTCCCCGTCGGGTTTCCGGGTGAGTGCATCTGCAAACGTGTCCTATATGCGGCCTGGGTCTGACGATTGCTTCCCAGTGAAAACCCCCAGCTTTTGGCAAGTATGGCGCAGAGTGACGTGGCAGCCGTATGGAATCCGGCGCTCAGATCAGACGACAATGCTACCCCCGTTCCGACTGGCCCGGCAAGTTTGGAGATCGATACCTCGATAGAGGCCACCACCATCCCTCTCGGCTCGCCTATGGAGACACCGCATGAATATTCGATCAGCGACATCGCTTTCCCGGATTCCGACACTGCTGCCCCGCCGCAAGAAGCAGCTAGCCCGGATATGATTGACACCCAGTCTTTGCCAAACCCCGATCAAATACCAGCTCGCGATGAAGTGCCCGAAGCTCCCTCGGGCGATGTTGAGGCGACACCGGAGATAAGCGACGACCACGAGACCCCTGGTTTGGATGCACCGCAGACGGAGTATGCTCAGGACAATGATGATGTGCCTCTGGATGATCCAAAGGACGAAGTAACGGAAGCCCAGGCCGCCCAGCCCCAAGCCGAGGAGTCTATCCCGACCGAGGCTACCGCCGCGCAAGATATGGGTGTGGAGGAACAAAGTACTACACCTCACGCCGGCGAACAGGATGCGACTGAACCCGCACATACCAATGGTGAGCCCCAGAGCGGCCATGACATTTGGGGAAATACTGCCAATGAGGAACCTGCGGAGGATGATTTCTTCAACCAGCTGAAAACACAGACGAAGCCCATCTACGTGCCTCCGGAGAATAATGAATCTCGTTTCGAAGAGGGCATTCCATTGCTGGATGATAGTGCCGAATCGCCAGTTGAGCCGACTGCCGTAGAGGAAAGTCAGACCGATAACATTTTTGCCGGCGATGATGACGAAGATGATGGGTTTTTCAAGGCTGTCCAGAGTGCTCCGCCTCCGGACGAATCTCAACCAGCGTCGCATATCACGCGCAAGAGCACCTTCCAAGTCATGGACTCCCTCGGTGTTTCCTTGGACTCTCCGATGAGCGAAGCGGATCCTGCTGCGCAAGAGTTTGATAATGCTCTCGCTGCAGCAGCAACGGGTAACAGTATAAAGGAGTCATCTGAAGAGGAGCCGGCCGCGCAAGAGCTCGACAATGTTCTAGCTGCTGCGGCTTCAGACAACATTGCTGAAAAGCCATCTCCCGAGGAGGATCCCGCTGCGCAGGAGCTCGACAATGTTTCCGCTGCCGCGACAACTAATAACACCGTTGAGATATCAGCATTTGAAGAGGACCCGGCTGCGCAGGAGTTCGACAACGTTCTCGCTGCTGCGACAACCAACAATGTTGAGATATCAGCATTTGAAGAGGACCCGGCTGCGCAGGAGTTCGATAATGTTCTAGCTGCAGCAGCAACGGATAATACCGTCAAAAAGTCATCTTCTGAAGAGGATCTGGCTGCGCGCTGGCAGGCCGAGCTTGCTGAAGAAGAGGCGGAGGTTGCTCCCTCCGAAGACGACTTGGCTGCGCGGTGGCAGATGGAACTCGATGATGACGACGACCTACTTCTAGAGGATGACATCGGAGGAGCTACGACTGAACAGGCACCGACGAGCCAGGATACCAATGGGGCCACTGCCGGCGCTGCTGTCCCAGGATTGAGTAGTCCTTTCGGGACCCCACAGTCTTCTGTCAGACCCAGTGCAACAGCAACTGCTTATACGCCGCATCAGCCGTCCACGTCGGACTTGCTTCAAGGGATCCCTGTGCCTGGTGCAGCGCCTCCGGCAAACATGGCCGCCTCTGCGGACTACTTTACGCAACCACCGCGACCAAATGTCACCGCAAACAAAGCAGAAAGCTTTGCCGAACGGGCAAAGGAAGGCTACAGGTCACCATATGATCTCCCGGAGGATCTCACACGACCTCGACGGCCTGTGGCTAGTCATAAGCCAGTTGTTACACAGCCGGGTAGTACTCTACCTCCCCCACGAAGCAATAGCATTCCAGTTCCTCCGCCGTCAACTTCCATGCCGCCACCTTCTTTGGGAGCGCAGCCGGATGGTGCACAATCGACCGCCAAGGTAGCCGCTCCGAAGAACTTCTATGAAGAGCTCCCTCTACCCCCGCCTCGGCCACAGTCTCGGCCAGCTAGCTCGGGACGGTATACCCCTGGTGCCAACGCAATGCCACCCGCGCCATCTCATCCGCCTCCCCCGCCGGCCAATCCATATGCTAGCCTTTCCACTGCTCCCCCGGCAGCGGCTGATGCTTATCCCCAGCCTCAAGTTCAGCAGCCTGAGCGGCTAGATCCGTATGCAAGCCTGTCCGCACCCGGTGCTCCAAGCGGCCCAGCTCCTCCTAGTGCTACTTCGAGGTACTCGCCGCAGCCACCTACTCTGCAAGCCGGAATCAAGCCTCCGTCATCGCCTAGATATTCGCCGGCGCCTCCCCCGGCGACCGCTCCCCCGCCACGCAATCGCTATGCTTCTCAACCTTCCGCTCCACCCTCGCAGGGAGTTGCACTTCCATTCCAGCCTCGCACGTCAAGCCCTCTGGCTTACCATGAAAAGGTCTCTTATCGTCCTCAAGAGCAATCAGAACAACGACGTTTCTCCATGGAACAGCCAGCTATCGTTCCTCCTGTCGACTTACAATCGCACTCGACTGGCCCTGCTGAGTATTCCCCCATTCAGCCGCCTGAAGCCGCGCACGTTCCGGAAGCTGTCAACATCGGTGCCAGCGTGCATCAAATGTCGCAGCAGCCGATGTCGCCTCCTAGGAACCAGTATGCTCCTCCTGATTATGTTGACGAATTCTCCAAACGCATTGCCCCTATTGCCAACGTTCCACCAGCGCCTGTGCTCCCATCGGATCCGACCTTCGTTCCTCCGCGTAGGTCGTTAACACAGTCGCCAAGTCAGCAAACGCTTGGGCCGAGGTTGTCCGTGCCATCTGTGGATACCCTACAGAGGCCTGCATCTGTTCATGGAGCGGGGTCTCCCACCAAGGCTGTGAACCCCTATGCACCAGCTCCGATGTCTGCACATAACCGCGTTGCCTCTCAGTCATTGGACTTTATCCCTCCTACCGATGATCAACAGTTCGATCCCCTGGAGCGCTGGAAGGGGGCTCCTATTGTCAAGTTTGGATTCGGTGGCTCAGTCCTTTCCTGCTTCCCTAAGCATATTCCTCGATACTCTGCCGGCCAAGCTACTCCGAAGATCAAGTCTACTCCTGGAGAGGTCAAGACTCATCAACTCAGTGACTGGATCCCTGTACCCGATACTATTGCGCGTCATCCGGGGCCGCTGAAATCCAAGTCCAAGAAGAAGGATCTGCTTGCTTGGCTTTCTAGCAAGATCGCTGCATTTGAAAATGAGGGCATCCCCCAGACTGTCTACATGCATGCGGACCCACAGAAGAGAAGCGAAGAGAAGCTACTGCTGTGGAAGGTCGTTCGGGTCTTGGTTGAACATGACGGTGTTCTGGAAGGATCGCCTGAAATTCAGAAGTCCCTCCGCCAAATCATCTTCCCGCATTTGCAGGATGTTGACTCCACACAGCCCTATGGTAATGGCTTGCCATCCTTCAGCACAACCCAGCCGTTGGATGCTCCTTCTCGTCCCGATGCCGCCGATCCTCAAGCGGTCGAGAGCATTCGCAACAGCCTTCTGGTGGGTGAGCGTGAAAAAGCCGTTTGGGGCGCTGTTGATCATCGCCTTTGGGGACATGCCATGATCATAGCGTCAACAATGGACAAATCTGTGTGGAAGCAGGTTGTCCAGGAATTCGTAAGACGCGAAGTGAGATCTGCCTCTGGTAACACAGAATCACTTGCAGCGCTCTACGAGATTTTTGCCGGCAATGTCGAAGAGAGCGTTGACGAGCTCGTACCCCCCTCTGCCCGAGCTGGATTGCAGATGGTCAGCAAGGTTGATGGACAAGGAGCATCTAAGAATGCGCTGGATGGCCTCGACAGTTGGAGAGATACCCTCGGTCTGGTGTTGAGTAACCGCAGTTCAGAAGACTACCAGGCGCTATTAGCTCTTGGAAGGCTCTTACAGTCGTATGGCCGGACCGAGGCTGCGCACATTTGCTTCATCTTCTCCAGAGCTGCTGTGTTCGGCGGGGTGGATGACCCGCAGGCAAGCGTCGTCCTCCTTGGCGCTGATCATCAGCACCTGTCTCTCGCTGCTCTACAGGATGAGGACTCTATTCTTCTGACCGAAGCTTATGAGTACGCCACCTCTGTTCTTTCGGCTTCTCCTAAGCCGACGCTTCCCCATCTGCTTGCTTTCAAGTTGGTGTATGCGTGGTCTTTGGCGGATCAAGGCCGCAAATCGGAAGCTCAGCAATATTGTGATGCGATTGCAGCTACCCTGAAGGCAACCACTAAGCCATCGCCCTATCAACATCAGCACCTGTACTTCGGTGTTGACGAGCTTTCCGCACGTCTCAGACAAACAACAAGCGACGGAGGCTCATCCTGGATATCCAGACCCAGCATGGAGAAGGTCTCTGGCTCAATGTGGGCTAAATTCAACAGTTTTGTTGCCGGCGAGGACAACGAAGCTGGGTCTGCCGGTTCAGCAAAGGCTGGCGATGGAGACATCGGCCCCTTTGCCAAGATCGCAGGTACCCCTACTGTTAGTCGCTCGCCATCGGTGTCGGATATCTACGGGTCGTACTCTGCGCAGCCGAGCTACAGTAGTGGCCCGTCACGTTACCAGCCAAATAACCAGTATGCTCCAACTTCTTCGCCTGAACAGTTGCGTGGCAGATCGTCTCTCGACTCTCAAAGATCTTCTTCCTATGGGTTTGGTTTGGCCCAGCGACGCGGCTCGCAGGAACCTTCCACTCCGGTTGAGAGCAACATGTACCAAGGAGGAATGCTGTACAACTCCCCGCCGGCTGTTGGTTATCAGTCGACCCCTCCTCAAACGTCTTACATGCCTCTTGCACCCGTCAAGGAAGACCTGGCTCCTCAAGCTCATGCCGAAGCCTCGACTGGTTCTGTAGAACAGTCTTACGGCAGCGGATCTCCGTATCAGCCCGCAGGTTATGGCTCTTTTGACCAGCCATTCATGAACCAGGCTCCTTCAGACGGGGGTGGCTATATGCCTCCAGGCGTGAGCAGCGGTTATGAGCCTCCTGCCATTGAAAGCCACGCAGAACCTGCAGCGGCACCATCGGAAGAAGTCAACGAAGAAGAGCCGGCGAAGAAGAAGTCCTTTATGGATGATGATGACGATGATGATATCGCCGCGCGTGCCGCAGCCATTCAGAAGGCTGAAAAGGCACGCAAGGATCGCGAAGCGGATGAAGCTTTCAGAAAGGCTGCAGAAGCGGATGGTGAGTACTCGTCAACTTGTTCAAGATGAGATCTATACTAACCTATTACTTGTAGCCCAAAAACCTGCACCCGCTAAGAAGTCTTGGTTCGGAGGCTGGTTTGGAGGTGCTGCTGGTGGCAAGAAGGAAGACCTGAACCCCAACAAGCCTATCCGAGCCAAGCTTGGTGAGGAGAACTCATTCTACTACGACAAGGATCTGAAGAAATGGGTCAACAAGAAGGATCCCAACAGCGCTACCGCTGCGCGCGCTACCCCGCCGCCGCCGCGTGCTTCAGGACCTCCTAGCAGAACGGCCAGCGGTAGCAGTGCAGCACCACCACCTGCGGCCAGTGCATCCCCAATGATGCCGCCTCCCAGTAGTCGGCCGCCTTCTACTACAGGAATGCCTCCTCCTCCGGGCAGTCCAGCTCTGTCTTCTCTGGGTGTGCCCCCGCCTTCAATCCAACGGTCCGTCTCTACTGGTGCCGCAGTTTCCACGCCTCCAAGCGGATTAGCAGTACCCCCAAGGCCAGCAACTTCCCTTAGCAATGCCAGCTCCATCGATGACCTGCTTGGAGCACCAACGGCTCGCAAGGGCGCAGCCGCCAAAGGAAAGAAGAAGGGGCGCTATGTCGACGTAATGGCAAAATAATCCCATCTTACACCTCACTTTGCCAAGTCCACGGAACCTCAAAACACTGCGGCCATTACATCCGGACCCAGTGTCGGCTTATTTTATATCACCTCACTATCCGATAATGTCTAACGAATCTCCTCGATTCACCATTTGCATTTGACACTTTATGAAGCGCGTCCTGGCTTTTGCCTGGTTTTTAGACCCTCAAAAGTCTTGCATGCTGTCTTCTCCGAGAGCAAGACGGCTTCTTTCGGGCGTTGTTTGCATGAACCCAACCCCTTTTTCTTTATTATTTTTATTACTTGTATGTTGTATTTGTGCATATATTATGGTTTATTCGTCTTTATTATTTCTATGTTTTTCTTTTTTTTCTTTTTTCTATGTTCTATTTTCCTTTGTTCTCTCTGATGATGCGGATTATGGAGATGGACGAAACCGAACTTGATGTCGGAGGTATCATGATGCCTCGTGGCAAGTGTACTATATGGCTCTTGTGCATGATTAATTAATACGATGCTTTACTAGTTATATTTCCAAAGTAGTACTCTGGGCACCTTAAGCCCTAGATAACTTTTATATACGTATTGCCATGCATGTATCCCTGCATGAGCACTGATCTCTGTAAATCCGTAAGGTAATTATAATATAATGTTTATACTCCATATTTCCATCTAAACCGCATAAGAAGTAATATAATACTACAGGAAAACAGTCAGCCACACCCCAAACCAACCCCATAAGAGAATGAGTAACTCACCGTCAAACACGAATCCTGCTCATTCCAACTCCCCGGCAAAAAGACATACAGCACCAGAGCTGTCTCATTAATGAACGCTATCGCCATTCATTTATTAGCCCCAAGTTCTCATCGAAGTAAATGCAAAAGGAAAAGGAATCCTTACAAGCAACGACCCTCGGATTCAACCTCCCCACACTCAAAATCCGACTCCAATCCTTCCCATCAATCCTCACCTTCGCCCACCCAGCCTCATCATCCGCCGGCACCTCCCTCATCCGCTCACTCGGCAACTGACCCAACTCCCTCCCCTCGTCCAACTGCCCGGGATCCAGACTCGGATTCAACAGATCCGTCCAGACGCTCGAGATCCGGAACGCGTCCGTCCCGACGGCTACTTTGAGCGAGCCGTGCATGTTAGCGGAGAGTTCTAGCTTCGGTGATGATAGTGATGGTGTTGTTGTTGAAGTGGCCCCTCCTGCTGTTGCTGCTGCAGCAGAGGTTTTATTGGAAGAGTTCGTCGTAGCTAACTTGGTAAACCGCTCCGAGATACTCTTTAGCTGGATCAAGCTCGGAAGAAGGATGTTTACATCTGGATCTCGACACCGTGGCTGGTGGAGTCCTTCCACGGCGGATTCGTGGAGTACCTTGATGGGGATTTCTTGGGTGATTACTGTTTCGCGTTCTCGGGGTCCGGTGCCGGAGAGTCTAGTAGTGGCTGTGGCGCTGTTGTCGATGGTGGATGAGGAGTGATCTGTTGCTGCTGCTGCTGTTTCTGGGATGTCGAGGGCATTGGATGTCGTTGTCCATGATGTAGCGCGAATAGTCAGTGCTAGGAGAGGCACGTTGCCCTTTTTGGTCAGTCGCAGGTTGGATAGTTTGGCGGATACGGCGGAGCGTAGGGCGCGGTGGAGAGCGCCGATGGGGACTTCGAGGTTGATTGCTCCGGTGTTGGATTCACAGATGTAGGATTCTTCTTCGAAGATGGTGTCCTGGTGATCGTTAGTTTACGTTTGAAAGAGTGGGAAGTTGAGGGGGAGACGTACGATTGGGAGTTGAGCCCATACTTGTGTGCCTTGGTCGGGGATGATGGTGAAGCGGATGAAGTCTTTCTCAAGACGCATCCAACATACCTTTCCCAGGGAGGAGAGGGAGGCGGTTAGTTCTGGGGAGAGGAGGGGAATGTGGAGTTAGTATGGGGGGTTGCTTGGATTGTATGGGATGGTGATGGCGGCGGTTGATGAGACACGGTTGGTTTGATTTGACTGGGGGAGCTTAGGTGAAAGGGATAGGCGATGGGAAGGTCACTTACTGGAGAAGATAGACGCGTTGGCTATTTGGGTTCGAAAACGCATCTTGATTTCAGGGAATTACTTGCATGGATAGAGATGTGATGCTACGCTAGTCCACCGGTTTGAAGCCGAAGACGGGTCGAGACTCGAGCAGAGGTGCCTTATCGATGATAAGTTCGGGGATCGGCCGCGCCGGTGGGGATTTCCCGCTAACCCGCGAACCAAACTTCGCGCAAAAAAAGGGGATCGCCATTGCGGCGGGAATAAACAGACTACTCGTTACGTCGGTGATTGATATTCAGCTATGTATGTGAATCTCCTTGATGGAGATTACACAATGAGACTTATATGGGGGGGGGGGGGTACTTCGGATGATTGATTGCCATTAGCATGTTCAATTGGTCTCACCAAGAGCTACAAAAGGAGCTGTAAGCTGCGCAAGCTGTTTACTGCCCACGAACAGCGCAAGCACAATAACAACTGCATAGAAGATTCCATGTTATTTCGATGAAACATCAAGCAAACTCAGTCTGTCTACGGGCTGTGAGCAAGTAATCTCTCACGGACATATCTCCGCATACTTCGGGGTGGCGCTCAGCGCCTCATCGACTCCATCTCGGACTGAGACTGAGCTTCCAGTGGACCAACCTTGTTATTTTTGGATTCATAATCATAGAGTGTCTATGGCCTAGACTTGATCTGTGTGCTAGGACTTGCAAGGTACCATCTTCTCTCACTCCTCCTTGCGGCCGCCGAGTTAGTGAGTAACAGTCGTATCCATGGTTCCATGGGGATGTCTCCCACGTGGTTCGTAGCATTCCTCGATTGCTTCATCTTCCTTACATGTCTCATCCTTACTGACACAGTTGTAGACGACTGTATGGTAAGGTTCTTCCAATATCAAGGGATCACGAACGGGTGTCCGTCCCTTACTCCCTTTTGGGAAGGGAAGTCCAGGCACCAAAGGATCTTCCTCCATTGAGGAGTTAGTATCCCTGTTAATGGGGAGTTCGACTACAATACTTACTCACTGAGGGGCTCTGTTGTTTGTCGCAGGACCGACCTATGTATAGTATCTTATTTATGCCTTTCTTTCGGATCCTTGCCTGATCCTGGAGGGGTGTGGAGGCTCACGAAGGGAAAGGTTGCCTTGTCGCCTGGTAGCTATTTGTTCTACCACGACAACAACCGGCTGGAGTCGCAATGTAGCAAAGTACACGTCAATGAACGAGTAGAAGTGGCGGACCAAACACGATTAACCTCGGATATAGAGGAACGAAGAAGGTAAGACCACTTCAACGGCTGCAAGACACAGTGGGTAAGTGTGTTAGGGTACGTGGGTAGGCGGATGTGCACGGAAGGGAGACACAGACACACAGTCAGACCCCAAAGGCAGCTCACAAATTCCAATAACCAGCCAGATACGATATGCAAGGGAGGGTCGATCACTGATCTGCTATCCGTATGATAAACTCTGCGCTCGAGCAATCAGAAGCAAGAACAGAAAGAGATTATTGACAAGCGGTCGAAGTCAATTTTATTATTTTCATCGTGCACGACCACTTGGGGCCGCACTCCCATGGACTGTCAATTCCATTGATTTCCCACGGATTAAAACAGAGGCACGGCCATTTATTCTGATGACCGTACACAGAACAAAAGTCAGACAGCGGATATTTACGGGGGAAGAAGGACCCGCATCAACTCCGAGGGGGAATGTGTCTGTCCTTTTGCTGCTGCATGGGACTGGATCCTCGTGTGTGAGACATTAAGGAGGGGGTGGGAGATTTTCCCTTCTGTAAGTACGATGTCGCACAGGAAAATGTGCATTTGGAAATGCTGGCATCCTCCTAGAATGGATGGATACATGAGATCACAACTATGCTGCATCGATCGAGATTTCTTTGAATATTCTCTGCTCTCGCTTTGTGAGGGGAGGGGGGAAGGATGATTACTTCCGGTTGGTCTAGAAAGAAAACAAGGCGCGAATGAGAAGGGGAGAAAAGGGAAGGGAAGTAGTACAGTTGGCAGATGGTGAGGCTAATTAGTCGCCAATTTCACAGGGCCAGCACAGTAATAATACTGGTAGCCTATTAATGTAATAATTATGATAATTATAATAATCATAAAAATGATCACAAAAATAATAATCATAATAATAATGAAGAAGAAGAGAATAAAAATAAAATGACTGACATCTTAACGGAGAATCCACAGCTCAGTAGTTAATTGGTGTTTGTTAGTTAGTCAGTTAGCTAACTGGAGTGTATACTTAGTAACTTGGTCTGGTCTTAAATTCCCCCTTAATCGATTGGCGGCGGCTCCACCCTTTTTTCTGGCATCGCCAAACCCGCGCGTCTCCGTCCACGCCATCACCAACTCACCTCTGCATATCCCCCCCCCGTCTTCGAATCATCGTCGCCATTTCTGGTCTCGTCACTCTTTTTCCATCTGGGCCCAATACCTGAGCTGGTCTCTCCGATCATCCTAATCATCCCACCCTCGTTCTTTTTATCTATCTATCGGGCTCTTCCTGCAGCCACCCAACTTTCCCTCGCCCTGGGCTCCCCTCAGCCGTTTTGAGGCCCTGCAGTGTGATCTATCATCATCCGCCGAAACTCTGCTCCTCCAGAGTTCTTATTCCCTCACTTTTCTTTTTCTCGCCCTAGTTCCTTTTCTTCATTCTTTTGTCAGACCTTTTCCCCCGGTGTCCTGTCTGCTCACGGTGCTCCGACATATACCTACCTACCTACTGATTCATTCACTGCACCTCCGCAACTTTCCCATCCGGTGATCGCGATTGTACCAGCTCATCCCCAATCTCACCACCACCCACCCACCCACCCACGACCTTCTGGCTGTCACCTTTATATAGCTTTGGCGGGATCGCGTCAGCATGCTCGCTCTTCAGCTACACCCACTCTCTTTTACACTTGATACTACAGCTCGACCCCCATCACCGAGAACCCGTTATTGATTATTCCGCG